CCAAGGGGAGCCATCCCCAGGGCCACCCTGCGGCAGTGGGGCTGTAACGGTCTCCCAGAGCGAGAGCAATGGGCTCCATGCGCATTGGGAGCGTGGGGTTGAGAAGAGCCGACACCACAGCATTTCGCCACGCTGAAGCTGGCCCCTCTTCCAGGGTCCTCCGGGTCCTCCGGGGAAAGACGGCATGGTTGGGCAGCCAGGGCCCAAAGGAGAGCGGGTGAGTGTCCCCCATCCCGTAGCTGCCGGGACCATGTCTCCACTTGCCTCATGGAGCAGCTGGCACCCCAAGGGGCCTGATCCGCTTACCGCTCTGTCTCCCCGGCACGTCTCCGGGCAGCGGGCTGAGCTGGCAGGCCCTACCTCCATCCAGCCCTGGTTGAACCCTGGGTTGGGGAGCGTGAAGCTGTTCCTAGGGCAGGGCAGCCTCTTCATACCCTCTTTTCCCTTCTCCTCCTGCCCAGGGTGATGTGGGGGACCTCGGCCTCCCTGGAGCACCTGGACCCAAGGTACAGTACCCAGAGTTGGTCTCTTGTGTGGGGATTCCTGTTTGCAATACAGCAGTTTTTCCGCAGAGGCAGAGATGCCACTCTGGAAGCATCAGAACAGAGATGGGTCTGCTTGCATTTAGGTTTCTCTTGGAGCAGGGCAGTGCCGCCACTTCCCCTCACCCCCCAAAAAGGCTCTGCTTTTGCTCGCACCTCCCAGCCCTGCCAGGCACCTCTGCTGCCTGGAAAGCAGCTGCAGGGCCGTGACACTTTGAACCCTCTCGATGCGTGGCTGGCAGCACGTGGGGCAGCAGGGTCAGTAACTCAGGGGACAGGAGGTCGCAGTGCATTGATCTGTGACCGAGGGATGCTTGTGGGGCATCTGTTCACTTGCTGCCTCCACACCATCAGGCAGCTGGTTATCTCCCTGCTTTACTGGAGGGGAAGAAATCTCTCAGAAATGGTTGCTCTCAGATGTGATCGCCAGGCTCAGCACCCGTCGTTCTGGCCTCGCTGCCTCCCCAGGGCAGCATCACAGAGCGATGCTCAGGCAGAGCTGCCAGGGCTCCTCTGTTCCACCTGCTCGCTGTGCTCCTCCTGCAGCATTCATTTTGTTTTGCTCAGGGCACTACCGTATCAGAAAGCAGCTGGGAAAGCCGAGCATTGTGTTATAATCCCAAAAGAGCACTCTGTGCGGCACTTTTGGGGCACAGAAGGAGAGAAAAGGGACCTAGCGGAGCAGGGCATGCTTTCAAGTACCTGCTTGGGTTGTGCTAGCAATAGGAGTCCAGGGCTGGTGGCTGATAACTGAAAACCCTTGCGCGTAAAGCAAGTACTTCACCTCCTTAAAACAGCCCCGGACCATTCTTAGCTAGGGCTGGCCATTTTTGCTCATCCCTTTTGGTTTAAAGGGATGCCAAATTCAGTGAGGAAGAGGTGCCTGGTTGCGCCTGGGACATGCAGGAGCTGAGGAGCTCTTCAGGCTGGGAGGAGGGCATGCAGGGCAGAGTGAGTTGCCCGCAGAGGGAGGGTTGTAACGGGGATGGTCACGGTGATGTTGTTCTGTGTTAAAACGTGGGGGCGGCCCGTGAGTGACCTGGGGGGTGCCTGTAGCCTCCTTGGAAATGGTCCATCTTCTGCGCATCACTCTTCTCTCTGTCTCCACTCCCTCTTCTCCTGTCTAACCAGAGCAAACTGCCTCCTCTCCCTTCCTACCTGTTAGAGCTTCTTTCTTTCCGCTCCACATCCCTGCCTCTGGGAGAGGCAAGGGTCGAGGTAAAGGCTTGCTGCCCCTGTGCAGGTGCCATGGCTGAGATGTGCATGCTTGTTCTCCCCTCTCTCAAGGTGACAATGTCCTTTTTGCCACCCAAAGGACTTGCACAGCTAGCATGTCTGCACCCTTATAGCTCCCATGTCATTGCCCAAACACAGCGCAGCTATTCAGTGCTGAGAGCCTTGCTAATTAATGTTTCTTAATGGCTGAGCTTGCTGGTGTTGCCATCCCCCAGCAAGTGGCTCAGTCGGGTGGAGATGGACGTGAGGAGCGATTGCACTGATTCAAAATGGTTTAGAAACCAGCATTGAAATGAAGGGGTGCATGTGAGTCCTCCCCTTGGTGCTGGGCAGTCACACGTCTCTGCCTTTGGGTTTGCAGAGCTCTGTCTCCAGCTCCCTGCATCAAGGTGAAGTGCTTGATGTGCTGACCTTGTAATGCTGATTGCTGGCTTGGCTTAACAGCACATGCCTGCCGTGTGCTTAACCGTTACCAGCGTGTCCTTGCCACCCACACGGAGCCGAATGGTGATGTGCCGCTCACCCATGAGCCCGTACCTCTCAGGGAGGAGGCGAGACAGCGCTGAAGGTGGCTCTGCATCCTGCTGCCTCCCTTCCGGGGACAGGGCAATTACTGCTGGCAGCACGTGCAACCTTGGCTCTTGCTGCCTCCTTGCCTTTTCTGTGGACAGAACCCACTGTCTACTTACTCTGCGAGATTTACATGGGAACTGCAAAAAAATGCACTTTTGTTTTTAGGCTAGCCTCTGGTGGCCACCTTGCACATTGCAAAGGAACAAATAGACAGGGATCCAGGGACTGTATGAGAACAGCCAGGGTGTGCAGGACAGGGGCAGTGCCCCGGGTATCAGGGCACTGCCTAAAGTGCCAGCACATGGCAAGCTGGAGCTGTGCCCTACCCCTTCCCACAGAGCCCTTTTGCCCTGGAGAATTGCCATCTAGAGGAGCATCTAGACCCTGCTTTGAGGAGCAGTTTGGGTCCGCCGGCCCCTTGGCTTTTCTGTGTGGCCCAGACATAGCTTGGGCGTTTGATTGGCCCTGAGAAGGATCTTTGCTCTGCATCCCTTCCCTCTGGCTAGGCATGCACCTGGTGCGGGGATGGCTCTGCAGGCTACGAGTGTGGGTTGTAGCACCTTGTCCCATGCGTTTCCTTTTCTTCTTTCCTCCTTGCAGGGCAGCAAAGGAGAAACAGGGCCAGCAGGAACCCCGGGAGAAATGGGGTTAGCTGGCCTTCCTGGACCCATCGGACCCCGAGGGCAGCCAGGTCCCCCAGGCCCACCTGGACCACCGGGGCCGGGGTATGAAGCTGGATTTGTAAGTGCCAAGAGTGGCCTCTCACCTGCAGCAAGTGGAGAGCGGAAGGCCACGGCGTGGGGTGGGAAGAGTGGGTGCAGACGTGGCTAAGCCTGTTCTCCTGCCCTAGGGCGACATGGAGGGCTCAGGGCTGCCGTTCACCGCCAGCTCCCCTGGACCACGCGGGCCCGAAGGACCACAGGTAGCTCCTCTCTCGCCCTTTCCCTCCCCTCTGCCCTAGAAGAGCTGCTGCAGAGGTTTGGGGGTCCAAAACCCATGGGTATCGCAGCTGGCATCCTGCCTGGGAGGGACCACAAGCAGCAGCAACTGAGTGCTGTGCCCCTGTCTTGGCCAGCACAGCCACGTGAAGGGCCTTTCTCTGCCTCTTCCAGTCCCTGGTGACTGGTGTCTGGGCTGTAACTCCTCTGCTCTGACTTAACCAAGCCGAGGTGGGGGGACTGGAGGAGAATGTCACCACATCACCATAGGGCAGGAGGGTGGGTGGGGATGGAGAGCCTCCCCTTGGTGCTGGTGGCATCCCTGGGTGCTTCGCGGTGCTGGCAGGAGTAAGGAGCTCTAAAGAGCCAGGTGGGGTCGGGGTCTGGGTGAGGGATGTGCTCAGCTCCTGGCACCTCAGGCAGTTACTCTGCGCTCACGGCCCTGTTGTCCTTCTCGTTCATAGGGGCTGCCGGGACTGCCAGGAATCAAGGTGAGGAGCCATTCAAATGCCTTCCTGGCACCGTACCATTGCAGAGCCAGCCTCAAAAGCTGTTTTTTGTGCTCTCAGGGCTGTTTCCTCTCCAGCTGTGCTCCTGAGATATGTCTTCCCTTGACTGTGAGGGCCGGGTGGGCCCACAGAGAGCCTGGGAGAGCAGCACCAGTTGGGCTATATGCCAGGCTGCTGTGGCTGTCCATGCCCCTGCTCTCTTAACAGTGCTTTCCCTTGCAGGGAGATGCTGGCAGCCCTGGGCAGCCTGGCTTGCCAGGACTGAAGGTAGGCTTGGTTCCCTCAGCACTGCTGGGAGAGCCTGGGAGGCTGTGTGCAACCCTCTGGTATTTGCCAGGGTCTGAGCAGGATCCACCGTCTCCTACAGCCTGGGCTTCTGGGAGGATGCCCTGGGCTGCACTTACTCTGCCCCTCTGCCTTTTACAGGGGGACCCTGGCATGCCTGGTGTGGACGGCCGCCCTGGACTGGAGGGCTTCCCTGGACCACAGGTAAGAGCATCCTCCTCAGCCCAACACGTGTTCTCAGCATCCTTCCCTCCTGAATGCCGTGCTCTTTGCTCCCAGGCAGGGCCTCTCTGCACATTTGCAGGGTCATTTACATCAGCTCCGCTCTCAGCAGCTGAAATGCCCCTGCACGTTCAGCTGTTCCCCTGCTCTGGGGCTTGGATCGCTGTGCGCTAGAGAGGTCCGTGCTGCCTGTGGCCCTGACCCCATCAGTGTGTTGCCTTGCTCACAGCCAGTTCCTTGTGCCTTCAGCAGGCAGGGCACTGCTGAAAACTCTGCCCGGTCCCTCCAAGGCAATCCAAATGCATCCCGTTAGGTGCCTGGAGATCGTCCTTTGGTTCGCACTGGTTCATCCTCCTGCAGCCTGAACGTGGCAGGGAGAGGGTGGCCTTGAAAGGCTTTTACTAAGCTTTAGGCAGAAGCCGTCTCCATTTCCGCCAGCCTTTGGCTTGACGTTGTTATGTTTAGCAATGCTTGCTCCAAATCCTTATGGAAGCTCCCTCATGTGTGCTTCTTCTTCCAGGGACCCAAAGGTGACAGAGGCAGCCCCGGTGAGAAGGTAAGTGCTGGCTTGGTCTGTGCAGGGGATGCTCCCTTTCTGGTGGGTGTGGGATGTGGATGAAGCTGGCCCTGGGCTCACTGTCGGTGGGCAACACGGGAGGCTGAACACTTGCATCTTCCAGGGCGAACGAGGCCAAGATGGTGTTGGGTTGCCCGGCCCCCCTGGTTTACCTGGCCCACCAGGACAGGTCATCTACATGTCGAATGAAGACGTAAGTGACAGCTTCCTGCTCACTTCCTGCCTGAGCCCCTTTGGCCTGGCTAAGAAATGGTTTGCTAGCTCCAGAGCTGGGGAGGGCTGGGTCCCCCAAATACAATTTTGATCACAGCCAGCTCATGTTGGGTGAGACTCGATAGTTCCTGTGTGATGGGAGCTAAAATTGTGTCAGCAGGGGGCAAGCCAGTATTCATTATGAGTGAAAATCAGCAAAACCCTGAGAGGGATCCCTCCAGTAGCTCTGCCTGTGCTCCAGGTTGGGGAACAGAGCAAAGATTGGGTTTAAAGCCCCATTTCGTTTGTTTTTCCAGAAGTCTTTGGCAGCTTTGCCAGGCCCGGAGGTAGGTACCTTCCCCCTGCCCATGTGCACCTTTGGCAGTGCCTGGAGTGCATCCCAATTCTTGAAAAGATGTGGTTCATTCTTATGAGTTTCTTTGCTCCTTCCCGCAGGGCAGACCGGGCCATGCTGGCTTCCCAGTAAGTCAGCGGCTTGGGCTTTGCGGGGGCTGTAAGGGTGGCCTGGGTGGGAACCAGGTGCCATGCTGTGAGGTGTGTAGCACGGGGGAGCTTTGGGTACCATCCATGAGCTAGGAGAGTTCTACGAACGGGAGAAAACAAAATTATCTGAAGGACTGATTTGAAAAGCATCCAACCAAATCATCCGTTGGAGAACAGAGCAGATGAAAGCTTGCCAGAAATAAATTAACTGCATGTAAAGAAGCTTAATGCTAAAATTCATGTGAGCTTGAAGATGTTATGAGGCACTGATGGTTGGCAGCCTGCTGGCATAAGCCTGTCTAGCCTTCCTTGCTGGGAAGAGAGGTCCAGGCATTTTTTTATTTAAAGTGTCTGTTTACCATCCCACACTTTGTAGCTTGACATCAGTTAAAATCCTGCTACAGACGGGCTACTGAAACCTTTTAGCTTTGTTGTGCCCATCTGGTGCCCTCTGTTTTCCTGCATGCTCTTCCAAGGGGGAGCCAATCTTTACCTTTGTACGGCACTGGCGCCTTTTGGTGCGTGACTCAGGCTGCTGGGTGAGACCTCTCTGGGACCCATGTGGCTGAGCCCTGGCCTCTGGCGCTGGTGGGAAGGATGCATCTGGCTCTGGGGAGCTGCAGAGCTGGCAGCGGAGGTGGAGGGGGGAGAGGCAACCACCGCGTGGGGTCGGTGTCTGCTTTTGCTGGTGGGGCAAAGGTTTGCAGGGCTGGTGCGAGACGCTCTAATTCTCCATGTAGGGCCCTGTAGGACCGAAAGGAGACCAGGGATCGCCTGGCTTCCCGGGCTCACCAGGGCTGAAGGTAACTGCTCCTGGCCACTTTGGCTCTGTGGCATGGCTGTGGTGCCATTCCCCTGTCCTTTCTGGCTCCTGGATCCAGGCAGCAATGCCAACCCTGCCATACCAAGGGAGAGAGCATTGCCCATGCAATTCCTCTTTTGCTTCCTGCTTTCTGTCAGGGTGAGAAGGGAGAGCCTGGTGTCATCATTAGCCCAGACGGGACCATTGTAGCTGCTAATGTGAAAGGAGAAAAGGTGGGTGCACTTGTGGGAAGGGTTGGCACATCCCTGGGTGTGCCGTGCCCAAGGCTTCCCAGCCCAAAAGCCCCACCGGCAAAGGCATATGGGGAGCACTGAGCCCGGTACTTTGCGTGGCAGCATTTCTGTGTGCCAGGAACACCGGGCTCCCGGTTGTTACCAGTTGTAAAGAGGGCTGCCTCGCTTTCCAGACGATAATGATATTTTCCTGTTCTCTGTCTGCAGGGGGAGCCAGGGCCACGGGGACCCATGGGCCCATCTGTAAGTAAGGGACTCCATTGTCCTTGTAGTTCCCCTAGAGGGAAAAGGCTTTTCCCACAGAGTTACGGAGAAACCAGGGAGGGATGGATGCTTCTTGTGTCCCCATCTTCTTCCCTTTCTAGGGCCCCCACGGACGCTCTGGACCGAAGGGAGAAATCGGCTTTCCGGGCAGACCTGTAAGAATCGCTCCTGGTTTGTTGTCCATCCGTGTCGGGCACATCTGCCTTGAACCCACAGTCTTCTCCTTTGTCCCAGCCAGAGCTGACCTCCCATTTGCCCGTCTCTCACCCGCCTAACCCCCAAACCTTCTCCCTTTTGCATCAAAACTGTGCCAGAGGCATTTCGGGCCAGGGCTCTGAGGCGGGGGTCTCGGAGGTGATGCCAGAGCTGTGCAAGCCTGGAGCTACCCAGATACCAGGAGAGAAACATTCCTCATGCCCCACATCCCAAGAGTTGGGGTGCTGCTAGGGTGCTGATCTTCCCAGGGACGAGCAGAGAGGCTCAGCCCGGCCAGGCATTTCAGCTGCTTTTGCTTCGTGTCCGTGCCATGGCATCACCCTTCTTCCAGCACTGGGGCTGGCATGCAGATGGGGGTGAGGCTTCTTTGTGCTCTTGTCCGCAGGGGCGTCCAGGCATGAACGGGCTAAAGGGTGAGAAGGGCGACCCCGCGGACATCAGTGGCATGCCAGGCTTGCGGGTGAGTGTGTGCCGCAGCCGGAGAGCTGCTGGCCCCAGAGGCGAGGACACGAGAGGAGGAAAGGGGGCCGAGGTGCCCGCTTGGGGCCTGATTCCCTTCAGTGAAGGGCAAAAATGTGCCCGTCAGCAGCAGAAAGCTCCGTCTCCCTGGGAGTGCAGAAGGAGACGCCTCTCAATCTTGCCCCTGTTGCATTGCCTTCCTGGTGAGGAGGGGGATGGGGGGCAGGTGGCAGGGGGGACTAGTCATTTCTAAAACCCCAGAGAACAGCCACTATGGCCAGGACACCCCAGTGACTGCCAGCTAATCCCTCTGGGGCAGAGCATGGCCTCGGCCTCCCTCCTGGGAGCTATTATGCTGTCCTGTTTGCCAGAACTCAAGTAGTGTTCTTCTTCTGCAGGGTCCCCCAGGTCCCCCGGGCCCTCCAGGGCCCCCCGGGCCACCTGGCAGTGCAGTCTACGACAACGACGTAAGTAGCACCACGATCGCCTCTTCTCAGGGTGGAAGGCTGGAGACCGGCTCATCCCGATCACACTGTCCCTGCCAAGGATACCACATGGTGCCCGTGGGCTCTGTGCCAAGGCGTCAGGGATGCCAAGGGCAGATAGAGAGGGTGGAGGATGCCACTGGTGGTGTCTTTATCAGGACCGGGATGTGGGGCTGTTGTCGGCATCGTGCGGACGGGCTCCCCTGGCCATTCCCCATGCTGCCCAGGTAGTGGGAGAGATGCGAGCGTGATGGAACAGCACTTGGGGGCGCTGCGGGGAGGAGCACAGAGGTTGGTGTATGATGTATCATCTTCCCAAAAGCCCTTTCTTTGAGTGTCCTGGAGGATTTGAACCATAAGAGCAGATGGCAGCAGACTAGAGGGGTCCTACTGGCAAATCGCTTGTGCCCCTTAGGCAGAGCATGGACAGCTCGGCAGGGGCTGCCACATCTCATGGCAGGGAAAGGTGCAAGCTCCAGTCTGAACGAGCTCTGTCTCAAGCAGACCCATGCAGAGACAAGTCATCTTTAAAACTGCCTTCCTTGCCTATTTGCAGGCCTTCGGTGACGCCAGCCATCCTGCACTGCCGGCCTTCCCTGGTAAGGGGAGGGGGAGGGGTCTGTGTCCCAGCCCCATGGAGCAGTTTGGGGACCCCCAGCAAGGGTGGGAATTGGAAGCAGCCCCGGATAGAGTGTCCCTGCACCTGTAGGAGTCTCCAGACATGCAAGCCCAGTGGAAACTGGGATGATGCAATGCCTTTTGCAAACGCATCCCGACCTTTCTGGTCAGGACTGAATCAAGGGGGTTGGTTCCCATTGGCAGAACCACCCCTGTGCAGTGGAAAGCACCATCATTTCAGTGCTGTGTGCTGTGTCAAAAGCCCAAATACCTTGATAACAGCCACCCTAAGGAGGTTTTTCTGTGTCCCATGTGTGGGCTGGCTCCTGTATCCCCCTCTCACCAGCGGTCCTCAGGTTCTGTCTGGGCTCATCTTGCTGGCCCCACTGTCATTCTCACTAGTGTTCCCAGCCAACAGAAATGCTTTTTTGGGAGGCGATTCCCAATACTTCTCAGGGAAATCGTGCACCAGGGGAAATCGTGTAACAGGGGACCAGGCTTCTTGTACTGTTCAAAACCATGCGCTTTGCCTGAAACAGGGGAAGGAGTGAACCCCAACCCAACCCTGGCTCTCGCTACCTCTGTTAAAAAGAGCCATTCCCCTTTGGCTGGGATGCTGCAGCTCTAAGACAGCATCACCACTTGTGTTTCTTACAGGTTTCCACCAGTTTCCAGGACAAAAGGGAGAAAAAGGAGATGTTGGTGCTCCGGGCCCCCCGGGTGAGCAATTCCATCTCTGTAGGCTGAGAGGAGGCAAAGATGCATGGGAGGCATCTCATGCTAACATCTATGCATGTCCCACTGGCCCGTCTCTGAGCCCTTCCAAGGGCTGTGCTCTCAGGTGTTGTAGGGAGAGCTTGGCCAGGCAGCACAGCTCCTTTGTGGAGCTCCGGTGGCTTTCTGCCTTCTGCATCATCCTCAGGATGGGGCAGAGTGCATGCAGCGTGTCCTTACCCTGCTTGTGGTTTTACTGGCTGGGAGGAGAGCATGTCACCACAGCTGCTCCCCAGCCTGGAGGCCAAGCGCGAGGTGATGCCAGTGCAGTGGTGAGCCCTGGCCACCCTGACTCCTCTCCTTATCTCTCTGCAGGCCAGTTCCCGTACGACCTGAGCCGATTCAGTGCCAGCTTGCGGGTAAGTGCCTTTGCCCCGAGCTACTGCAAGCAGCACCTGGTGGGGGGGAGGGGGTAGATGAGGTGGTCAGAGCCCCTTAGTGTGCGACTTGGTGCGCTCGGCGGCCGTGGGTCAGCTGGGACATGCTGGGGTGGTGCGGGAATGTGCCCAGAGCCCAGCTGGGATGCACAGCTCATGGGAGTCACAGCCGGCTCATGCTCACCTCACGCTATCCCACAGGGTGAAAAAGGGGATGCAGGCCTCAAGGGCGAGAAAGGTGAACCAGGCGGGACAGCGCTGTATGGCCCCAGTGTCCCCGGGCTGCCAGGCCCACCGGGTCCCCAGGGCTACCCTGGCTTGCCGGTGAGTACCTCAGGGGCATGGGGTGGACTTGAGGGTGTCTCCATGCTCCGAGCGGTGGAGGGCAGGCTGGGGAGGGCTGCTCTTGCAGCAGAATGGTGAGGAAGGCTGGCGGTATATCTAGGGGGATGGGACGGCAGGCTGTGTGTTTTGCCTCAAGGATGCTCTCTTATTCTCTCTAGGGTCCCAAGGGGGACAGTATTGTTGGGCCACCGGGGCCTCCAGGACCTCAGGGACCCCCCGGCATTGGATACGAGGGGCGGCAGGGCCCCCCTGGCCCGCCCGGTCCCCCTGGTCCTCCCTCCTTCCCAGGCCCACACAGACAAAGTGAGTACCTGCCCAGAGCTTGCCCTGTTTCCCCTCCTGTCCCCCAATCCCTCACTCACCCTCTCCCTCATCCTGTCCCATGCACTGAGCTGGGGCAACTATCTCCATCTCAGCCTTCCCTTCCACCTAGCTATCAGCATCCCTGGCCCTCCTGGCCCACCAGGACCCCCTGGACCACCAGGTACCAGCGGGACATCTCCTGGGGTGAGTTGGGGCTGTGGGGAGGAGGGGAAGGTCACCCCTCTGCCTGTCCACCCCTATATTTGCGCTCAGTGCAGAGCCTACAGGGCAAGGGGGGATGCAGGGGCCATGCCCTGGGTGTCCTCTCCTTCTGGGCTTGCCAGCTGAGCCCTCAGCACCCACCTGCCCTGTACCCGCAGCTGCGCGCCCTGCCAACGTACCAGGCCATGCTGAGCACCGCTCACGAGCTGCCTGAGGGCTGGCTCGTCTTCCTTGCTGACCGGCAGGAGCTCTACGTCCGCGTGCGCAACGGCTTCCGCAGGGTGCTGGTGAGTGTTGGATGGGGATGGCCGCTTGCCTGAGCCTGTGTTGGGGTTCACGTGCCCTACGGATGTCACCCAGCAGCAGAGGGAGCCAGTGGCACCCCTGCTGCTGGGCACCTGGAACTTCTGCACCTTGACACCATCGGTTGGGGGATGCTGAGGTGTCTTCCCCTTTGCATAAGCGAGAGGAGAGGGGTTGCTCTGCTCTGCTTTAACACGCCCTGTCCTTCCAGCTTGAGGAGCACACCCTGATCTCCAGCTCTGCTCTGGTGAGTCCCCCATCCTGCTGGCAATGGCAGCGGACAGGCAGGGGTGCCCTGCCCGCTGCTACAGCCCAGCTCCCGCGCAGGGCTCTGGGCAGCCCAGGCCCTGAGCATGGCTCTCCCTCCTGTCCCAGGATAACGAGGTGTATGACAAGCCACCCAGCGTCCACTACTCCCACGGCGGCACCATCCCTTCGGGGTCCCAGCACCCCTTCCAGCCCCGTGGGCCCCTGCACCCTCTCCGCAACCACAGCCCCCCGCCCACCGCCCGGCCCTGGCGAGGGGACGACATCGTGGCCAACCAGCACCGTCTTCCTGAGCAGCCTCTACTCCATCACGGGACCCAGCATCAGCAAGAGCTCCTGAACAGTTACTACATCAACCGCCGGCCGGATCCAGCCCCTGTAGCCACCCACGTGCACCAGGACTTCCAGCCGGCCGTGAGTTCCCAGGGGGCCCTGGAGATGTGCAACTGTTGCCAGCCAGCAAGACTGGCCCATCCCTCACCTGCATAAGTGCTTCGTGGTTGCTGTCACGTCCTGCTCAGCCTGCCAGTCTCCATGCTCTGCAAGGTGCCTGGAGAGGCAGTGCCTTGCAGAGATGTGGTGGTGCCCAGCTGACTCTCCCCAGGCTTGGAGGGCCGGCTGGCACCAGGAGCGTGGCAGGCAGTGGCACTGCGGGCAGCCGCTGTGTTTCTCACGCCCGTGTCCCCTCTGCAGCTCCACCTCGTGGCTCTGAATGCCCCGCTGAGCGGCAGTATGCGCGGCATCCGGGGAGCTGACTTCCAGTGCTTCCAGCAAGCCCGTGAGGTTGGCCTCCTGGGCACTTTCCGGGCCTTCCTCTCCTCCCGCCTGCAGGACCTGTACAGCATCGTGCGCAGGGCCGACCGCAGCACAGTGCCCATCGTTAACCTCCGGGTACGTGTCCTGGCTCGCGGTGCCTGAACTCCCTCAACTCAGCCAGGGAGCGATCAAGGGCTGGTTGGCTGCGGGATGGCCTCACGTGATGGTCCACGCTGCCCCAGGGAGCCAGTGCCGAGTTGGGGACTTGCAGAGCTGCTGGCAGGACTGCCGCATGAGCTTGCGTGCTTGGTTGCATCTTCCCCACCTTGGCTCCATTGCCATGTCCCTCCGGAGGGGAGTTGGAGTCTCCGGCACCAGGGGGTTGGATAGGGTTGACTTCCCCAAAGCTGCCAGCACCCTTCTCAACACGCAGCAGGGATGGTGACCACAAAGGTGTCCCTTGTGTAGGAGCTGCTGCATGTCGCTCCGGAGAGCTGATGCTCCAGCCACCCATGGGTCAGGGTGCCAGCCCTGCTCCCCCCGGGCTGTGAGCATCTCAGGGGTGTGCTCCAGCGGGGAGCGGGGATGGTGGCCAGGCTGACCTGCTTCCCCTCCACCCCCCCCGCCAGGACGAAGTCCTCTTCAGTAACTGGGAGTCCCTCTTTGCGGGCAGCGAGGCCCCGTTTCGGGCCGGCGCACGCATCCTCTCCTTCGACGGCCGCGACGTCCTGCGGGACTCGGCGTGGTGAGTGCAGGGTCCCCGGGGACTCGGTTATCGGCCTCAGCTAGCGTGTGGCGGTTAGACAGTGTGGGCATGCCAGATACGGCCGCTGCCCTGCTGCG